AGATGGTGATAATCTCTCACAAGTACACACTCCTGAATTTTTAAATAGCTTGAGATTGTTTGGACTTCCTAATCATTCATTGACAATAAAGGTTGGTGCACATGTTATGTTACTGAGGAACATAGACCACTCTCTTGGTCTTTGTAACGATACGCGCCTCATTGTTACAAGATTGGCGGATCATATTGTCGAAGCAAGAATAGTTAATGGAACGCAGCAAGGAAAAAAAGTTCTTATACCACGAATGTCTCTCACCCCTTCTGATACGAGATTGCCGTTTAAGTTACAGCGTAAACAATTCCCGTTGATGCTAGCATATGCAATTACTATCAACAAAAGCCAGGGTCAAACACTAACTCACGTTCGCTTATTGTTGAAAAAACCAGTCTTTAATCACGGTCAATTGTATGTGGCTTTTTCCTGAGTCACTCATCCTGATGGCCTTAAGGTTTTAGATCTAGACGAGAATGGACAAACTTCTGTTACTACTACTAATGTCATCTACATAGAGGTTTTCAACAATGTGTAATTCAAAACAGTTATATTATGTATTCTTCTTGCACCAATATAACAAAATTGTTACATATCCACATATTACGTATATGTTCCGTTACAAAAATTTCTATAGCTAAATTACTACACATAAAGATAATGAGATCAATTAATTCAATTCCGAAACATTCATACAAACCTTAATTCAACGTTAAAATTTACACTATCGAATATGAAGCAAATTATAATTCATATATTATAACGAGTACATTCCGTGCATCGCACGGGTGCAAATACTAGTATATATATAAAGTAAAATCCTCCTATTTCATTTTCCCGCCCAAACTTTTGTCGTAAAACTTATTTGGTAACCAAATGTAAAATAGAAATTAATTAAAATCTATTAATTGATAATATTGTTTCCATATTCACGTATTAACCTAATTGATAAATCTATTAATTGGTAATATTTTTTCCTTATAATCATTTATTCATATTGAGTAATTATATATAGAGATATAGATATGTATACTAACATACAACTGTTACGACTCCCATGTTTATCCTTGCCCATGATATTTCTTCATTGAAGACTTGCAGAGCTATTAGACTGCAATTGGTGCGCACCTATATGAAGTCCCATAGAGATCGGGGAGTGATTCCATAAAATTTAGAGAGTGCATGTTTCACGATCAAGAGGTATTTTTTTTTTTTCAATTTTGCTTTTTTCTACGACTCCAATGTTTATCCTTTCCCAGGATATTTCTCCATTGAAGATTTTCAGAGCTATTAGATGGTGATTGGTGTGCACCTATATGAAGTGCTATAGAGAAAGGGGAGTGATTCCATAAAATCTAGAGAGTGCATATTTCACAATCAAATGGTATTTTTTTTTCGATTTTGTTTTTTTTTTTTTTCTAGAACTCGTGTTGTATATGAAATTGGGAAAAAGATGCATTACAAAGCTGCTTCCTACACTGTAAAAATAAATTAAAAAGTAACACTTTTCTTTTTTACTCCATTGTAGGAAACTTCATGCTCATATACCAATGGAGCATGTTGGTAAGTACTGTAAGCTTTTCAAAGAATGAAAAGTTTATGCCATTAAAAATTTTATGGTGATAAGTAATTTCTATATTTACAAAAAAATGCACTCATTATTTTATGTTGTAATTCAATTATGCTACTTTGGTTAAAGAATACAAAAAAATGACAACTTTCCTAGACAAATTTATTTATTGAAATTATTTTCATCTTTGAAGTCTGTAAATGATAAACAGTTCGTTGGTAAGTTTCATTTACAATTTTAATCTAGATCTGAATTTTTTCGTTTTTTTTAACATGTTTAACGTTATTGGTAGAGTCGTTGATGCGTAGTATATTTGCAAACAAATAATACTCGGAGTACAAGTTATCAATCCACAGGGAAGTGGTTGTATCAAGCACTAGTTACTAATTTATTCATTAGAGCTAATCCTAACAATTGTTTAGATGATTAATTTGCATAAAATAAATAAAATAAAGCAGAGATTCAGGATTTTGAAAACAATTAGAGAGAAGATGATATTCCTGGGATTCAAGTATTTAATCACCTAGTGCCAAATCTTAAGGACAATATTAAAATCTGGGTTTAACAAGTGTGAGGATGCAATGTGGTATAGAGCTACTCTCGTAGTCACTAACACTAGTGAATTTCCCCTCTCGTGGCTTAAACACCCAATAAAATAAGATCAAGCATCATAAATTTCTAACTACTACCATCTCCCGATGCGCAATAATCAAGCATTAAACTCCCTAACAAAATTACCCTTTCTCAAGGTGCAACAGTTATGTGCAATTGTGTGTGTCCAAAATTATGCCCAACTCTCGTTGTGACACAAAGATAGCAAACGAAACAAGTAACTGTGGCCACTAATTACAAGCATCAAAAAATAAAATCACAATTGCAACACAAGCATTAAACCCAAATAATAATATATTAAAGAATCTAAGAGCTCAGGCACATAGTTTCATAAACACTTTTACCCAAGAATCTCTAAAGAATTTAGCCAAACATTGCTAAATTATACATAGCAAATAATAACAAAAATAATACAAATTATCAAAAGAGTACAAGAATGAACCAGACGATTCTCTCGAATCTCCCTAGTTTTCTTCTTGCTCCCCAAGACAAATTGTGGCTCTTGATTTCTTTCTTTCTTGTCTCCAAAGATCTCTGAATTTTGAATTATCCTTAGGGTTGAGGAAGGGGGGATTTTATAGTAGGTACAAAGCTGGGATCAACCCTGGAGAAATTAGGAATATTTCCAATTTAATTTGCTTGGAAAATCATTGCCCTAATTTCACTTCCCATCTTGAAAATTATTTCTTTGATTTGGTATGGGAATCAGCACCAATTATAGCCTTGAAATCCGTGCTTTTATTTTAGGAAAGAAAAGTTTAAGAAATCCTGTGCCTATGTTGAATTTTGCCTAGCCGCGCCACTTTATGCGTCTATTTTTATTGAAAAATAGACGCGTTTCGACGCGTCGAAACCTCCTGTGCGCGAAATTAATTGTTTCGGGAAAATTTCGACACGTCGAGCCTTTGGCTCGACACGTCGAATCCCCTGGCCCCGAACTCGTCCAAAATTGCTCCAAACTCATCCTTGAACTCCCCTTGCTCATATCTTTGACCTAAAATGGTTCAAAAACACTAACAAACACCGTAAAACATTCAAAACAAATGTGAACCATAAATACCTGATAAAACAAGGGATTTATGCAATTAAATTACCAAAATCATGAGCTCAAGCCTAACAAATATAACTAAATCAATAATAAAAATGTGTACAATTAGGCTCACATCAGTCGTTGAGATATACTCCCCATTGGATACGATCGTTGCAGGGAAGACTTCTTAACTTGTTGATTTTTTAATTGTACGTGGATACAAAGTAAATTATCTAATTTTGTTATTTTTATTATATTTTGTATATGTATTTTTTATTAAGTAGTTTATTTGTTTATAGGGACAATCAATTGAAGGCTACAGTGTGAGATCAACATATACCAAGAGTTGAAACCTTTTTTTTAATTCTGGCCTTGCAAATCTTATGGTTGTTCTTATGCAATTATGCAGGGTTAAGAATGATACGAAGAGTTAATCTAAACACAAGTGTTTTAATTTTTCTTTATATTTGAAAGTGTTTGAATAAGGACAAGTAATGGATGTTCTTTTTGATTAGCCGGTTATGTCAAGATATGTAACTCTTGATACACATCTCATTGTCAATCAGGATTTCCAGAGTTTTGTGATTTTCTGGAAAGGTAAATTTATTATGTCTTAATCATTATCATAATGTTTTTATCATTTATTTCTATACATATTTTGTTTATGATTGTCATTTTTTTTTCAATTTATGTGTTGATTAGACCCCTCTAAGAAACATTATTAATATTTATGAGATGATTGAGGTAAATAGTATGTAGCAATAAAACATTTTGTTTTTTAAATTGACGCAGTAGCATCAAATTTGCTAATCATCTTTTGCCACTTTTTAAAATGATTTATTAGTATAAATTGTCACACTTTAAAATGTATTTTTTTAAATGTTAATAAATAAATTAGCTTAAAATAATACATTAAAATCTAAAGGATAAGCAAAGTATAATCTAAAGTATAAAATAAAGCTAAAGTTGTACATGTTTGCAAAGTGATGGAGCATTGTAATAGTTTCATTGCATCCAAATAAAGGCATCATTTAACTGATTATTTATTTATTTCTTTCTTATCTCACATTAAAGGTTCAATACTGCAGATATATATAAAGTATTAGTAATAATAGTGGTACTGCTAAATGTGTATATAACTAATTATTTATTGATTTAGGATCAAAGAGTGCCCTATATGATCTTAGAGCTCAAATCAACCTATATCAGTATTATCTTATCTTCATATGAACAAAACTTATCATCCTTGAAGTGGTGAAAACAATTAAGAGCCCCTCACTACAATTTTTCTCTCTGTAATCACAGTTTCTTTCGTATAACTTAAAACATAAATGCTTCACATATAATAGTATAGTAAATGGAATTATAATATAGTAGAAATTGTGTTAAAACTCTAACACAATTTGTTAACCACTAACCGCCAATTATCAAACAAGGTCTTAGTTATCAAATAATAGTTCAAACTCAATAAATTTGAGCGAGATCATCTTAATAGTGGGTTAGGTAATATAATTGAATAAACTTGCTATAAAATATAAAATTTTGGTATTAAATTACCACATTTTATAAGTTTGAATAAAGTTGCAGTAGAAACTTTAGTTTTTTTTTTTTTTTTTTTTTTTTTTTTACCAATATGTCTTTCTGGAAATTAGAATATGTACTTAATTGTCTAAAACCATTGTTTTTTTATAGGATTGGGTTAGATATAAAGAAATCTCTTTTAAAAACTTGTTATTTTACCACATCTAAGTACTCTTTCCTCTTCCCTCATGCCAACCAACATTGCTCATCTCCTGCTGCCCAAGACTGCAATCCAGGCAGCACAGGAAAAAGGGAAGACATTTGCAGAAACTAAGGTATTATTCTTGAAAATCTTTCAAAAAAAATTCAATTTGTTGTTCAGGATAGTCCTTAAATATGTACATTCGATGATCTTATCAGAAGCTTTTAGTGTTCATGTTGCATTGATGATTGATCCTTCACTCCAAAGCATTGCCATAATTTTTTTATTTTTTTATTTTTTCGTATCTTAGCTTAGTGGCTTTGATTTCTAAATGTAATTCTTTTGGTTATAATCTGTCAGCTAGTATTCCTGGGGTCAATATTCTTGTTTCAATTGATCCTAAATTAGTATGGAGGATTGGAGGCATGTGTATTTAGTCAAATCCCTAAAGTATTTGTGAGCTAAAGTTACCCAGTGTTTTAGTCAAGATATGAGTTAATATCCAATTTAGTCCTCGACTATAGTAGTTTGTCTGGATTTAGTCATAAATGAATTTTTATGCTTAATTAGTTCATCGACTTTGATGGTTTTATCCAATTGAGTCCTTGGCTGTTAGAATCAATGACTAAATCGAGAAAAATGAGAGAGTTGCGGACTAAATTTGGTAAAACCACTATAGTCGAACACTAACTTGTGAAAACTACTATAGTTGAGGACTAAACTCGATATAATAGATGTGAAATTACCAAGCTATTTTAACAAAGGACTCAATTGAGTAAAACCATAAAAGTCGAGGACCTAATTAAATACAAAAAGTCATTTAGGACTAAATCGAGAAAAACCAATATAATCAAGGACTAAATTGGGTATTAACTTGTGAAAATATATACTAATGATCTATCTATGTAGGTGTTGGTTTTAGGGTTTTTGGGCCCAAGGAGGTCCAACACAACCGTAGTTGGTGGATTCACCGATAAATAAAAAAGATGAACTTAAAAGAAATTAGACACAATGATTTTGACGAGGAAACCGAAAGGTGAAAATCACGGGCCTTTTTGGACGGTGCCAAGACTAAATTCACTATTCTACAGGATCGTTTGTACAAGTTGTATGGCTATTTTGTATATAGAAGTATTGTGTAGGGAAAGAGCTATACTTTGTATATAGAGAGGGAGTCTTCCTCTTGATCTTCTTGTTGGGAGAATGGTAGAGTCTTCTCATGTGTGATGAATGGAGTCTTCTTGAGTGAGAGTGGAAGAATGCTACCTCCTAGTATGAGGAAGGGTGATGGAGTCTTCTTGTTTGGAAGAGTGGAGAGTGGTTGTGGGAGAGTGATATGCCTTCTCTTGTGGTAAAGAATAGTGTCCTCTCCTGTCATGATGAATGAGATGCCCCCACATGTGCTCTTCTTCTCCTTCTTATAGCAGCCAATCAAATAGTGTCCGTTGGGTAGGATTTAATAGGTTTTATGAGTAATAATGATGACGTAATTGGGTAGTAAGTAGGGGTTTATGTGGGGGTTATGGATAATAATAATAATTAAGTAATTAATTAGTGGTAATGAGTGGGGTAATAATTGGGATATTTTGACCGAGTTTGTGTAATCCAATTGGGGCTAGGCGGTCTGACTGGGCCCAAATATTAGGTATCCATCACCAGTCCCTCACTTTTCTATGTCTCGCGCTCAGCAGGGCATGGGAAAGTATATTGTCTCGCCTCAAGATTCACTTTATCCGCTGCCCCAATTTTAGCCAACTCTTTATTCAAGATTCCATACGACTCCCTCCTCATGACTTCTTTTCGTTTGCCATATGACCGCCTGCTTCTGTGGAGGTGACCCTTTGACTTCGAGGCCCTTCACCTGTCGAAGCGACTCTCGATTGTAATTTTTCTTTTTCTCTAATGAATTTCTAAGGGTTTGGACCCTGATTTGACTCCTTCGCTCGCCGAGTCCCTCAGTCGAGGTGACCCTTGGCTATGAATTTTCCTTTTTCTTTCTCTAAGAAACGTTCAAGGGTCGGAACCCTGGTTTCTTTTCTCTTCTTTTCTAAGAAACGTCTAAGGGTCGGAACCCTGGTTTCTTACTTCACTCGCGGAGTCCCTCAGTCGAGGCGACAATCGATGGTGACTTCTCTTTTTCTCTAAGAAACGTCTAAGGGTCGGAACCCTGGTTTCTTACTTCACTCGTCAAGTCCCTCAGTCGAGGCGACTATCGGCGGTGACTTCTCTTTTTCTCTAAGAAACGTTTAAGGGTTGGAACCCTTGCCGTTTCTTTTCTCTTTTTCTCTAAGAAACGTCTAAGGGTCGGAACCCTTGTTTCTTTTCTCTTTTCTCTAAGAAACGTCTAAGGGTCGGAACCCTGGTTTCTTACTTCACTCGCCGAGTCTCTCAGTCGAGGCAACTATCGGCGGTAGCTTCTTTTTTCTCTTCCGTTCGTGTAACACCCTAGTAGACAAGGGATTCCGTGAGCAATTAAATTTTGGAATTTATATGCATTTCCTTGCCATGCCCAGAATATATTCAGGTTTTCACATATAGTGTGGCACATGTGACTGGAAACCAAGCTTGCTATACGTAGAAATCCATTCACCTTCCATTTTCCATAAGAGATAATACTTTGAAACGGTGATTTTGAATTGCTGCATATTAATAGCACCATTTCCAAGGTAGTCTTCCGTAGGTCACCCATGATTTCCCATCCCGACTCCCGCACTCTTCTGCTTCTTCGTGCATTGACTTTTCATACTTGCCATTGAACTAAATTTTCGTGCCGAGTTGTGCCCACATATTGCATGCCACAGATGTACTCCTTCTATTATTATTGTCTTCACCGTCTTTGGAAAGATTGTGCATACTTTTTGTGTGTTTGTAATTTTTCACCTTCTTCATCTTTTATCCGTATAACTAGATAGGTCGACCTCCCAAGGTCTGGAAGCTCGGTGGTCGGCCCGAGAAATAAGTAGACGGACCCTGGGTTAGGACTCTCGGTGGTCGATCTCGAATCCAGGTGGGCTGACTGCCCAATGTCCAACACAGAGTGGTCGGTCCAACGAATGAGTAGGCGGACCTCCTCGATCAGACTCTTGGTGTCGGCCTTGAAGCTGAACGGGCGGACAGCCCAATGTCCGACGCAGAGTGGTCGGCCCAACGAATGAGTGGGTGGACCTCTTCGGTCAGACTCTTGGTGTCGGCCTCACAAGCCAATGAGCTGTTTTTTGTCTGTCTTATGTGCATTTTCTTTCACTGAATTTTGAATTTCTTCCGCGTCTGACTGAGTCCCTCAGTCTTGTAGTATATTAACAAAATTGTTCCAAGTTGATTATACCGCCATGGTAAATCTATCAAGATGTCAAAGCATACGACCCAACCAAATATTTGTGCAAGACACGCCCATTATGGGCTTCAACGACCCATCTATATAAACGATCCAAGCATTTTTCTACTGCCCAGTAGCTCATTTCCTCATTATCAAATCTTTCCAGCCAATTTATGCTCAAATTCCAGTAGCCCAACTCAGCCATTTTAATTTTGCAATCCTCTTCAAACGCAATTTTCAAATGCTAAATCTAAGCCGTGAGACCATATGACTACCAAGCTACGTGGATCATCCCTTACTCAGCCATTCCATTAGCCATTTTTTCTTGTTGGAATAGGAGCTACATGAATGGAGAATGGAGAGAAGCAGAGAGGAACGAGAAGATGAAAAATGGAAATGTGTATTATGCAAAAACCAGTACAGAACTTTACAATATAAGGAAGAAGATGAACAGTTATGGAAAGTAGAAGAAAAGACTATAAAAGCCCTATACTATTTATTTTCTATTTATTTTATCCTCCAACACCCCCCCCCCGTAAGCTGGAGCGTGTAGATCCTACATGCCCAGCTTAAACACAAAAGGTGGTGAGGTTCACAATCAGTAGCTGCAACTAGCTAGTAGAGACTTGATGTAATCCTTTTCTTTTCTTGATTATCCAGGCTTCTCATTGAGTCCACCAAGGATGGTAGACCTCCTTATACACCCATTCTTTTCAGACCATCAGATTTTGCCTCCTGCCACTCTCCACCATATTGTAGAAATCAAGCTGGAAATCAGAAATAAATTGGAGAATGGCAGAAACAGATGTCATTAGAGTAGGCTTTAGTACTGAAGCATCTCCCTGGGTTCCTTTCTTGATTTTATTGGATGTGTCTGCTAATGTCAATGCTGAACTATAGCCAATTGAGCACCATCAGCCATCATCACAATCTCAGCAGCCAATTCAAAAACATGAGTTATTGGATGTACCATGAATGATTCACACCAGTCATGGTACATTCCAAAAGGACCTCTCTTATATATTATAGGAATGGTATCGGGAGAAACAATTGCAACAATGTTCATAACCCACACTTTCAAATCTTTCAATGCAGCCTCAAATCCTCCATAGACAGCATTCATGTCCATGACATTCCGCACAGTAAACCAGTTAATTCCCATTCCATTCAAATATGACTTGGTCACAACTCGTGTCCAATGTTTATAATCTGTAGCAAAGTCTTCAGGAGCTGGCTTCCCATACACACCTGTCTCAGTACTCAGTAACCAATAAGGTGATTTCTCCAGCCTAGCAGGCCATGATTCTAGCCATTGAGAACCCCTCTCTGATTCAGAAGTTGGAACTTTGTGCATGCAAGCTTGCAAAGGCACATTCCAGGTTCTTTCTTGAGCAACAATTGTATTCACAAACTGATTGTCTGCAGCTTCCATTAATAGAATGGGCCTGCTATGTACAACCACTCTACTTAAATCGGCCTTACAAACACCTCGAAGAACCTCCACCAAATTTTCTGCTGGAAAATCTGGAAGAGCAACATCTAGGCAGCAAAGAGAGATCTGAGGGACACTCGGCACCATACTGAGCTCCTTCTTCACTTCCTCAAACGACTCAGAAACACCGGTCAACGGCTTGTTGTTCGAGCCCTTGGAAGCACAAACCAGGAGCGTATTTCCATTTCTGGCCTTGGCCGGAAGACATTTCAACGATGAAGCAGAGAAAAACAGGGGACTATGGGAATTCAATCGGAAATGGAAAATCTCACCACCTCCTATGACAACGAGAGACACAACCGCTGTGGCTGGATTGTAGTTCCTCTTTGTGAATAAGTTCCACTGCGGAACGAGAGATTTCGCCATAATTGGAGATCCAGCGATCGGAATAGACGGAGCTCCTCCCTTCCGCTGCGGAACGGTTGTGGAGATCGCCTGAACTGGAGATCGACTCAGAATCAACGGAGCTCCTCCCTTCCACTGCGGAAGAGCTAAGGAGATCGACGATGAACAGACTCAGATCTCCTTCCGCTGCGGATCAGCTACGGAAGTCTGCTCCGAAATCAGATTCCTCTCTGGAATCATTGCTGATGCCGATCGAATTGGTGATCGAGCATCGGCTTTGTTGTTTCTACTTTGTGTAGCATTAATCTTCTCCACTGCCTGGGATTGAAGAAGAGCACGGTTGATCGAGTTCCTCTGCGGAACCGACTTTGGAACAATGAACGGTGATTGTGTGACCGGAGTAGTAGCCTGCGTCTTCTGATTCACGCCGGCGGCGGTGTAGGATCGCCGCTCTGATACCATGTTGGAATAGGAGCTACATGAATGGAGAATGGAGAGAAGCAGAGAGGAACGAGAAGATGAAAAATGGAAATGTGTATTATGCAAAAACCAGTACAGAACTTTACAATATAAGGAAGAAGATGAACAGTTATGGAAAGTAGGAGAAAAGACTATAAAAGCCCTATACTATTTATTTTGTATTTATTTTATCCTCCAACATCTTTTCCTTCAACACATGCCACACACTGCTATTGGAGACCAATATTTCCATGTGTAGATTTACTTTGATATAGAAAAATGTGCTACCCCAAAATATTTATATGCTTTCCCCAGACATTGCCACATGTTTAAGTATAGTAAGTGTAAACTAAGGATTTTCACTATATGTGTTTTTTTAATGGTAAATTACCTCGGAGCTTGTCTCCTTTAGTTTCTTTCTAACTTCATCCACGTAACTGGGTATACGTGAGCTTTCTTTAACATGATTCGAAGGCCAACTCCAACTCCGACTCCGGAAGAGTCAGAAAGAGAGCGATGTCCGAGTCTGACTCCATAATCGACCGCACACTCTCTCTGTGGCAATCGACTCCTTGTAATTCTCGTGCATTTCTCCTCAACCTGCCATGTACGCTAGTGCTTGCGCTCCTCTTGCTTTCCCCCCCAGAGCTTATGTTGAAACTTTCTGAAAATTTTATCCTTAATTTCTAGATAAGAAGCTGCATTTTAATCCAATACCTGAAGAGTTTCATGGAAGGCATTGAGATGCTTATTCAAAACTCCGTTCAATTTCTTTCTCTTCGCTTTCCCCATCTCTCTCTCTCTCTCTCTCTCTCTCTCTCTCTCTCTCTCTCTCTCGCTCCTTGAGAATTCGATAAATGGAGTCCTGGCGTGCGGCGAGGTAGACAGGGCGAGTCCGAGTCCGAGCCCATCATTGGCTATTCTCTAATGCGCTTATCTGAGATCAGCAGTCTTACCAAGCAGTGGCATGATCGGCTGATCTTCACCAAGTTTCCATTCGCGCAGCATAACTCGCTCGATTTCGCGCAGTTTCTATCGTCCAATTATTTTAGCTTCTCCGATAATTGTCAGGGTGGCACAATACTTAACTCCAACACTTAGAATGCAAAGAGCATGCCGACTCCATGTCCACTATCGACTGCTCTCATGGGCGGTGCTTAGAACGCAAAGGGCTTGCCAACTCCACGTCCATTACCGACTGCTCTCACGGCGTGGAAGAGATCTAGCATCGCTCGACTGGCAGGTGGAGTCCCCGACGACTGTTTGGCGGTGTCGTACGTGGTCGGCGAGATGCGTTGTCGGCACTGTCCTTCGGTTCTAGACTTCAAGGAGTCTTCTATCCATGTTCAAGAAGCGAGTCGGTGGGCGGCTCCCAAGGCGGTCGACCATCGCGAAAATGGTGACGGCATTCGCCGGCTCCCTGAACTTGCATTTTGGCGGAAAAATTTACAGGCAGATCCATCTCGTCTTCAAACTAATCACAAATACTTTCTAGAACTCTTTCATTGCTGATCACGTCTCTCTCTTCTCTAGCTGGCCACGTACCAACTGCATACTTAGCAATAAGACACGGGCGAGTTGGTAAAAGGGAGTCGGCGTTCTGGCCGGGTAGTTTGGCGGACGCGATTTCCAAGTCGATCGGATCATTTGAAGGATGCGGTGAGAGCCCTTGGTCAAGTCAACCGATTCCAATGAGTCGAATTCCGGTTAATCATTGCTTCTTCCCTTGTTGGCTGGCGGCTGAAACGATTGAAAGAGGCGGTTGTTGAATTCAATTTTGCGCCAACACCCACCCTACCGACTGCATGCGCGGAGGAGGCCAGGGCCGAGTCATCAGGATTGCCTTCATTCGCCTCGCCTTCACCGCCCGAGTATGAATCGTCGGGTTCTCCCTCGTCACCTATTCCATTCTTAGCCGAGTATTCCATGACGAGCACTCGTTGTCGCCTTCCTAGCCGAGCGCTCCATGTCGACTGCCTCTTTGAACGTTTCCCAGGCTGTGTGAAGAACATGCAAGCCGGCCAGCTTAGAGCTATATATCGGTTGATCGAGTCCGCTGGTGCCTTGAGGTTCGACGATCGCATAGTTATGTGGGGAACCACTCGGTAAATATATTGGAGGGCGTAAACTATGTTCTCAAAAGTACTCTATTGCTGTTTTGATTTTTGACATTCTACATTTTGATTGCCACATGGAATTTCACGATTTTCCTAATACATCTGCTGCCAGGCACATAATGGTGCAATTTTCCTTATAAAAAGCTCCATGCTTGTTTGTTGTAGAGATTGCCACGTATAGTATATAGGTACTTTCCATATGCCATATGTGTAGAAACATAAAAATCATATAAAAAATTCCCTTTTCCTTTTTGATTGTCATACACAGTAACTTGTGAAAATATATACTAATGATCTATCTATGATGGTAGGTGTTTGTTATAGGGTTTTTGGGCCCAAGGAGGTCCAACACAACCGTAGTTGGTGGATTCACCGATAAATAAAAAAAGATGAACTTAAAAGAAATTAGACACAATGATTTTGACGTGGAAACAGAAAGGTGAAAATCACGGGCCTTTTTGGACGGTGCCAAGCCTAAATTCACTATTCTGTAGGATCGTTTGTACAAGTTGTATGGCTATTTTGCATATAGAAGTATTGTGTAGGGAAAGAGCTATACTTTGTATATATAGAGGGAGTCTTCCTCTTGATCTTCTTGTTGGGAGAATGGTAGAGTCTTCTCATGTGTGATGAATGGAGTCTTCTTGAGTGAGAGTGGAAGAATTCTACCTCCTAGTATGAGGAAGGGTGATGGAGTCTTCTTGTTTGGAAGAGTGGAGAGTGATTGTGGGAGAGTGATATGCCTTCTCTTGTGGTAAAGAATAGTGTTCTCTCCTGTCATGATGAATGAGATGCCCCCACATGTGCTCTTCTTCTCCTTCTTATAGTAGCCAATCAAATAGTGTCCGTTGGGTAGGATTTAATAGGTTTTATGAGTAACAATGATTGCTTAATTGGGTAGTAAGTAGGAGTTTATGTGTGGGTTATGGATAATAATAATAATTAGGTAATTAATTAGGGGTAATGAGTGGGGTAATAATTGAGATATTTTGACCGGGTTTGTGTAATCCAATTGGAGCTAGGCGGTCCGACTGGGCCCAAATATTGGGTATCCATTAGTAGGAAATTAAACCTGAACTTTAATGGGTGTTGTTGAATTCATTATTTGAGATTTTTATATACATTCAACACTTCTGTTATTTGTAGACCTGCCTGTATCCTGATTCCTGGGTTAGGATTTATTGATTGAAAGGTTGTATTCTTGAGCAGGTATTGATTATAATATTTATCAAGAATAGAGAATCGTATTAGTGTTTGCAACAAAATGGGATCCGAGGGCCCAACACCGGTAACCATTCATGTCACTGGCTCTAAAAAGTTTCAAGGTGTTCCTAAAAATCCTACTGAGAGATTTGTAACCAATTTGAGAAGTTATGTAGAAATGAGAGGATTGCCAGTTGGTGTCACATTGGGTAGCTGCGTTGTTCTTGAAACTGCCGGAGAAGGAGAACTTCTAACACTATGCAGCGTCATAGAATTGGGGACCAGTGCAACAAATAGTTCAAGTGGTAGACAAGTCGTATGGGTCAGTTTAGCAAAATCTAATTCATAATTTCTCTCCGTTGCTTCTCCCACATTATTTGGAAGTGATGGCATTCACATATCAAGTTGGTAAAATACATAGAATGTAAAGTGACTTCAGTCTTGAAATCATGAAATGCTTTAGTGACATACCTTCGAATAATTTTAGCGCTTTGTTTAGTTTGTTTCAGCCTCACCTGGGGAGGTAAATAGTGTTGAAAAATCATTCTATAAAGAAATGATTGTCCACAATAATTCTTGGTCAAGAATTGTTAAGGCGGTTATTAATAAACTCCCATATTTTTCTCTCATGATTGTGGCTATCCTCTATTTTAATATTTGTGGTTTCCTAATAATTAGTTTAGTTGTGGATAATATCTAGAGGTTAGTTGGGGCCATCTAGTATATAAACCCCATTACATTTCAATGAAGACACATTAGAAAACCTTCTTCCTCTCATTTGTCTGCTTCCCTAAGTCTAAGCAATAGTCAGGTTCGACTACGTTTAAGCTAGTGCGAGCTTAGCGTGGTTATTCTGTGTTGCATGTCGAAAGCATATCGGTTTATCTCGACTGCACCATCACCAGGCAAATAACGCTTTTAAGGCAATGTTATATAACACGACAAAGACTCATTTATAGTCATACACCCGTATTTGTCGTTGTTTCCTAAAAGTTTGACAGCCCCTGTGTTGACTTTGCTTATATATTCCAACAGTTAAAAGCATTATTATACAGCAACAGTCAACTTTTCAGCTTTATGGCTCCTTCTGTCACAAATGAATGACAAATTGTTTGCCATCTATGTCAAACAAGACTCGACAAAAGTTATTTGGGAAACGCTATCAGAAAAGTACGGTGCCAATGATGCTAAAAATCAAAGTGTCAGAAATGACAATAACAAAAGGAGTGGAAAAGTTAAGAAACTCAAAGGAGACTGTTTCGTGTGTGGTAAGCAATGACACCGAGCATACCAGTGCTATCATCGCAAGGGCAAAACTTGTAGAAGTCAACCTGACAGAGCAAGATGAGTATTGCATTTCTTTAAATAAGTAGTTATTTTGAGTAACTCTTATTTTCTCTAGTTTCTAAGAGCTAGCATAAAATGTGATATTCTTAGTACTGGATACTAGTTGAGTTGTCTAAATTTTGAATGCCTATTAGTACTTATTATTTTAGTGTGTTGAATGCTAATGCCATTGATGCATATTATAGACAAAATTAATAGTGGCGTACACAAAGATAAGTGAATTGTTATTATACACATGTATGAGCGTTATGATTTTGTTGTGATGGAAGTGTTTATTTAACACTACTGCTAAGTGATTAAATAATCAATCTGATTTAAAGCTCATGAATTGTGTACTTATGCACATGTCGAATTTATAACATTAATGTGTTATTATTGTGGATATATTACAAACATTGTACTGTTTGAAGAGATACATATATATTTTATAGTCACATGATCTTGAATATTTGAATTATGTACTGAGATTGTTTGTCAAACGTGATAAGCATATATCAAAGGCTTTATACACATTGTGGTGGTAGCATGTAAAAGTCATCATTCTTGAATACTCTATCTAGGAATGTAACTTTAAAGTAAACTTCGGTTTCACCACTTGACCTGAGAGTTTTTAAGAAGTATGGTGTTTGATGGTTTTAGGGTTTTCGGGCCCAAGGAGGTCCAGCACAACCTTTGGCTGGTGGGTGCACCTTTCAATGAAATGTATGTCTATTTCGGAGATTATGCTAGTACTCGGAACTTTTTGGTATTCTCCCTCTTTGGGTGTTCAATTGTCCCTCCCTTTTACAGGAATGGAGGAGCCTTTATATAGTGGCTCCTCCTCTACCGACATGAAGGCCTTTGATGGCCGACTTCATGGCTAATTAAGATATGGAGCCGTTGGACGCCATTACTCGGTCGACCAACGGCTCTCCCAGGCTTGTAACGGCCTGACCGTGTCCGGCTTTCAATGTCTCAACGGCTCCCTCTTTAAACGAGCCTCTTCAATGCTCTCAACGGCTCCTTGAGCCGAGTCCTTTCCTGGGCTTGTGCCTCGGTCGACTCCTTGTCTCGGCCTAAGCTCCTACTGGACTCCTTTTGGCAGCTCGGAACTGGGCCCCATGCTTGGGCCTGGGCCGACTCCCGGACTCGGCCCATTTGCTCTTCGGGCTCCTCTCGACGCTGGCCCACTTCTCCTATCTATTTTCTTTGGGCCCCTATACCTTGGGCCGGGGTCCTCACCCCATCAACTAGTCCCTCACTTTTCCACACCCGGTCCGCTAGCCTGGGTTTGGAAAAGTAGCAACTGTTCGTCCCTCCCAATCATCGTATCTTCGTCTTAAATATCTTTTGGTAACGTCCGGATCCTCAGCCATCTCCTCCGGATCTCGCGGGGCCGTTTGGATTCTTCCGTCTAAACTTGGCCCCTATAAATGGCGTCCTTCCTTTTCTTTCACCTTCTCAAGTCTATCATGGGTCGTTCTCCTCTGAAAGGAAAACGGATTGACTTCGGGTCTCCTTGGCGTCCGCTGCCCTCCAAGCGGACTCGGCCTGAACGAGAACACGGGAAGAAGACTCCTCGCCCAGCCCCTCAGAGGTCTCCTGCCGGCACTATGTCCTCAGCTTCTCAGCCGCCGACTCCTTCTCGACGCGAGGTCACTCCGCCATCACGCCATCCGCCTACTCCCACGACTGCCCGAGTGACTTCCCAAGATGGGTCCTTTGTTGAGGTGGCGGTTCCAGAGCAACTTACTTTCAGAATGACCTTCTCGATTCCGCTGGACGACCTGGACGGGCCGGTTACGGGCCTGATGAATGATGAGGACTACGCCCGCTACCTGGAGGTGTATCCGGATGACGAGGAGCCGATTGCGCCGCCACTCATGCCAGCTTTCTGGGACTCGTTCTGCCCATCCCCGCCTGGACCATCGGGGGGGTTCTTTGGGGGCGACTCCTCCTCGCCTGGCGAGTGATCGTATGTACCGGAGTCGGCCATAGTTCGGAGGGATTTCTTTTAGGAGCATTTTCATATTTCTCATTGTAATAAGCTCCTTGCCATTTGTATCCTCCTTTTTGCAATAATAATAAATGCTATCCTTGCCTTATGTTTTGTCGTGTTCTATTACGTACTCATCTGGACGACTGGTCAAGGGGTCGGTCACGTCATCGAAATCTTTTCGGTCTGACACCTGCAAGATTCCCCATATCCTGGGCGAATCCACTTTTTCCTGCATTGGCGTGCGAATCTCGCTCTTCTCGAGCGGATCTGATAGAACTAATCTCTGACAGAGATTCGCGTCATCCGTCTAATCCGGCTCAGTTATGTCAGTTATAATCTCCTCCGCGATCATCGCCTAGGTATTTGCCTTTGCTGGGCTATATAAAGGCCCTTCATAGTTGATGCAAATCGCAACATTCTCCACTTCGCGAAGATACGGCGCTATGAGTTATAGGGACGGTGATCGCCGCTGGTCCATTCGTAACAAGGAGCATGCTCGTCTGGAGCAACTGAGGCAGAAAAGGTTAGCTAACGGAGGTCGTTTGGTGGGCGACTCGGCCTCCGACCCCATCGTGGTGCTTCCAGACATGTTGGACCTGATGTGCAGGGAACCCATTGACGTGGAGACGGAATCTGGGGTGGAGATGGAGCCGGTGGTGGAAGATCCCGAACCAATGGTGGAAGAGAAGTGGGAGGCTCCTCCCCTCTTCGGTGTGGCCATGTCGCCGAGCGCTCTGGAGAGGCCTTTGCAAATGATCGATGACGGGAAGCCCGCCGTGTATCTGGACGAAATGCCTGAGCCTGAGCCGAGTCCTCTGCCTTTCCGCTCTCAGTACCTCCTGGAAGGCCCTCCGACCGCTAGTCCGTCGACAGAGAAAGAAGTCAAGCCTTGACTCGTTTTTTCTCTTGTAATTTGCATCGGCCGAGTGCTGGGCCTTGTAATCTTCGTACTAATTAAATAAATTGTGTGTTTTTCTGTCCGACCCCACATCTTCTTAGTATTTTGTCGTCTGACCTCTGGTCTATGGGACTGATTCCTAGCCTTGCTATGGCGAGACCCTCCTGGTGAGGGAGTCGCCGAGTCTGATTGCCGACCTGGTTACGGGAGTCTCTTCGTGAACTCGGCTGATATCATTCGATGAGCCGGGTTCTACCGGGTCATTCTAGAAGCTTCCAGCTCATATCACATGGGCCCAGAGGCCATGGCCCACTACGGGCTTCCGGCTTAGCAGGCCGGGTCACTTGACGTTCGACCTTAGCCTAGGACAGACGCGCCGTCTGTGGGCTAACCCTAGGCCTGAACTGTCGCCCCGCCTTTTGAGGCATTAAATGCGGCGTCTCGTCACCTCCTCTTCCTCCAACGAGAAGGTGGCACGTGGCCGTCCTTTGAAATTCCTCCCCTTTAAATAGCCATTTCGTCTCTCCTTCCCTTTTCTTCTCCAGTCTTTCTTCTCAGCTTCAACTTTGAGCTTCTCCGGCCACTCAATATTTCCTCCGATCTCTCTCCTGACTTAGGTAATGTCTTCTTCCTCACATTCTTCTTCTTCTCGTCGTTACTCGGTCGATAACCTTGAGACGACCTCTCCCTCTTCGTCTTCTCCTTCTTCGTCTTCTTCTTCTCCTCCCCGTCGTATGGAACTTCCGGCGGACATTCCATCGACGTCCTCTCTTCGTCGTATGGAATTTCCGGCGGACGTTCCATCGACATCTTCTCTTCCACCGACCCCCTCTTCTTCGGGGGCGGTTACTCCGCTGAGCCCCGCTCCTCTAACGACGGTGGCGGCTCTGCCGGGTGGCGTCGGACGGCCGCGGGGCAAGTTCGATTCCATCGTCCGCCCTTCCGGGTCACCCTCCGTTGTCAATGCGGTGGACCTGGAAATGGCCCGATACCTTCTTGGGCCTTCTGCCGTAGTCCTCGCCCCAGAGGGCCGGCAAATTTACGACGCCCCCGAGGGTTATGTCGGTATTCATTTACACTCGGTTGCTTTTGGCTTCCGGGTTCCCCCGTGTCCTTTTCTTTCCCTTTTTTACCGCCATTACAACTTAGTTCCGGGCCAACTAGTGCCCAATTCTCACCGACTCCTCACTTGCTTCGTCAACCTCTGCCATTGGTGGTTGTGCGAGCCTGACCTAGACCTGTTCCGGTATCTTTTTACCGTGAACAAGGTCGGCTCGCACTCGCCGGGCTTCGTTCAA